GGCGCCGCTGCTGCCCGCGCCGCGGGCGTCATCGCGGCTGCGGGCGCGCCACTGTGTCCGAAGGGCCCCTGCGGTGCCCCCATCGGCGTTGCCGGCGTCGGCGTTGGTCCTGCCGCTGGCGCCGCTGTTTGTTTTGGTATTTGTCGACTAGAGCCTGGCATCTTGGGCGCCACGATTGCGCCGGTTAGTCGAGGTGGTTGCTGGGTGCCGCGGTGGTCGGCGAGCAGTTGACGCGCTCGTTCCAGGCGGAAGAGGGCGCGAGCGTCGGCGCGCTCGCGGCGAAAGCGACGGCGCCAGGCAGGTCATCTGGGGCGAGGACGCGGCGGCCTCGTAGCAGAAGTGGATGAAGAAGTACTGGGAGAGGTTGTGGAAGTAGAGGAAATAGCCGAAGTTGATGTCCACAGATCCCCGACAGGGCCATCGCGGGCCTGCGCGCGGGGGGGTCAACAAATAAAGCGCGGGAGAGGCAGCTCCGGCATGGGGGGCGCGGCCGCGGTCGTCGGCCCGGGGGGGCCTCGAGCCCCAATGGCTCGAGCCAACATGGTGCGAGCCAAAATGGCTTGAGCCAACATGGCATGGCCACGGACACGCCCCCCCCCCCTCCTGTCCCCGCCCCCATCCTTCTCCTACTCCCCCGGCCCGGCTGCCCGTCGCGCATCGGGCGGGCGGCGCGGGCTTTCTAGAAGCCCCCCCCCCCCGCATACGCACGGGACGAAAGAAACGACGAGGGAAGGCAGATGAACGGAGGGAGGCGGCAGAAGAGGGGGCGGTCTCCTCCGCCTCCCCCTCACCACCCCCCTCCCCGTCCTCCCAACTCACGCTCAACCTCCACGCTCCCTCTCACGATTTCCCCTTCTCTCTGCCCCTCCCCGCTCATCGACCTGCTCCCGATCCCTTCGTTATCCCCCCGACAGCGACCACCATGGCCTCTTTGGATCAAGCCCGATGCTTTGGTGGGCTGTAAGCTGTAAGTCCCGAAGCAGAACTAGAGGCCGCTAGTCCGCGGACGCACCCTGACTGTCTGGGCAACCTCGCCTAGGCTATTCTCTGAACGGAGGCAAAGAGACCTGCGCGAGCACCTTCTCAGCCTCGAGCCCATCGCGGCATGGCGACCCCGCCCATCGCGAGCGAAAGGGGGCGAAGGCAAGCAGCGGCCAGGGCAGGGGCGCGGGCGACGCCGCGGAGCCTACCTAGTCTGTTCGACCTGCGGTCACTGGGAGTACAACCACCTCGGCAACTGGACGCGCAGCGTCTGCGGCGGCAGCTACCTCGGCGATGCTGCCCATGCCCCCCATGCTTATGATGCTGGAGCGCCTGATCAATCAGCGGTTCATTTGCAGCCTTGGGCGCGAAGTACCCTCCATGGCGCAGCCCATGGAACTGTTCCAGGGCGCGGCCGCACCACCTGCGCCTGCAGCTCGCGAGCCTGCTTCAGCCAATGACATCGAGAAGCAGATTCAGGCCCAACGCACGGAGTTGCCCCGCGCGGTTGAAAAGGCGAGCAGGAAGGAGCGGGCGGCCCAGTCTGACGCTCAGCAGCACCATGAGGCCGTCGTTCGGCATCGCGAGGCGACGGCCAAGGCGAAGCAGCAGCACGCGGAGCCCCAACAGACGCTCTTCGCGAGGCCGCCGAGGCTCTTCGCGAAGCCAACGCCCAGAAAGACAGCTTCAACGAAGCGCAATACCACCAGGTCGGACACGTCCTTCTGCAGGCGAACGTTGGACAAAAGCATATTTCCAACAACACGCAAACATATTGTAAAATATTGAACAAGATTCAACACATCGCCCCCATGCTGTTCGAGAATATTTGAATGTTTCTCCTGTACAGGGACACGCCCGACTTGACAATGCCATGAGAAGCTCCGTGCCAAGGAGCGCGAGGAGGCGGCTGCTGCTGCCTGTGCTGCGCAGGCCGCTCGCGACGAGGTGGCGCGGCAGGCGGGCGGCGGGGCGCCCTTTCGTGGCCGGCGGAGCCCCTGCGGCAGGCGCCCCCGCAGGTGGCCAAGGCCACCCGGCGGCGCAGCTCCCCGGCCCGCCCCGGCGCTGCGCGGTAAGCGGCAGAAGCGGCAGAAGCGGAGGCACCTGGAAACAGAGTGGCACCCCCGAGGCGCGAAGGCACAGCGACGACCAACGAGGCGAGCAAGAAAGAACCACGCAAGGTCGCGAGCTGGCGGGGCGGCGGGCCTATGCATCCAGCCCCCCACCCTCCTGAGCCGCTTCCAGGAGTCGCAGCACTGTGCCGCGTGGACTTCCAGTGGGTTCAGGACCACCCTCTATGAACTACCCGAGCCTGATCTTCAACGTTTCCATGGGCGCTCTCATCTGTGTCCGGAGCAGTGGATCAACATGCGCAGGTTACCCCCAGCAGCGCGCCGCAGAGGTGGAGATCGGCATGGCCTCGGAGGTGGCCAGCGAAGCTGGGGACCCTGATCTCCCTGGCGATGAGCCTTCTGAGCTGCGCGACCTCCGCCAGCGCGCAGCCGATACAGGCTTAGACCCGCAGGCCGCGGAGCGGTATGGAGTGCTACTTCCGAAGGTCGCGGTGGCTCGGGCCTCCAGGAGTGCCAAGAAGGCGGTGCGCGGGCAGTCCAATCACACCTTCGTCGCCTTCTGTCAGGCGGCGGCCTCCCAGCTGCAGGCTGTCCCTCAACAGGCCGCAGGGGGCGGAGCCAAAGCGCAGCCTGTTTACCCCGCCTCTGTCGCGCCCCCTGCCGAAGAGGCGGCGCGACAAAGGTGCGGGCCTGGAGATTCGATTCTGCAACGCCACCAGCTGGTCTGATCTCACGAAGGGCTTTCTCTCCACCGGCACCTCATCCATGGACGCCATGTTTATTGCTGAACATCACCTTCGCCACGGAGGTGTCAAGGCCAAGAAGGATTCCCGAGCGATGGGTTGGAACCCATTGGTTCAGGCAGCCACCGATTCCCCAGGAGGTGGGACTCACGGGGGAGTGGCAGCGCTCTGTCAGAAGAGTCTATGTTGTTAACGTTTCCTTTCGGGCGTATCTGAAGTGGTCAATGTGGGCTCGGAGCCTTGCTGGTTTTTCCTGGAGTTCAAACTTCATGGGCTTTCGCTGGCGATGGGCGTCGTTTGCCTGGCGTGTTCCATCGGGGCGGCAGATCGCTGAGTTTACGGCAGATTGCTGAGTTTACAAAACCCTGTGTTCCTTCGGTTTCGCATGGAGATTTCAATGTGTATCTGGAGTTGCTGGCTGAGTCGGGGCTATTGGAGCTTACGACGTCTGGCGTGCGTGTTCCAGCTGGGAGTGAATACACGTGTGACGTTGGCCGCACTATGATAGACTACGTAGTCTGCTCCAACGTCCTGGCTCCCTATATTTCAGTCTGCACGCTGGCGCACTTCCCGTTCAAGACCCACGAGTGTCTGCATGTCACCATTTCTGGAAACGTGCTCCGGCAGGAGGTGCAGCGTAGGTTACGGGCGGCGGCACTGCCTCATGCTTTCGGGCCTGATCATGCGTGGCTGCATTACTTGGACATGGCTTGTGCGCACGGCTACGATTCGCAACCTCTGGCTGATGTTGAGGAAGCGTCACTTTGCCACACCCTCTCCCATGCTTCGGACGAACTTTTGGAAGATTATGATTTGTGGTCTCGGGCGGCGGAGATGATAGTTGTTTCCCGAGGACGTGCTGTCTTGGAGCACTCGGACCGTGTTCGAAGGCGTGGTCCTCCTCAACGGTCCTCGGGGACGCTCAGGCGTCGGGGCAACAAACAGGCCTTCAATTTTCCGCACTAGGGTTTCTGGTCAATGCTCTACTTCCGTTTGTTCGGGTACTGGAAGGCCCTGAGCGGTAAGGCTTCCTCGGCACAGACTAGGAAACTGTTTAACTTCATCGTAAGCCAAGCGTGCCAGGTCTTTTCCCATATTGAGCCTCTCAGGCCTCCGCTGAGCCGCAGTATTGAGCGCCTGCATTGGCTGATCTTCACGTCGGTCTTGATGCAATTCGCCAGCTAATCAATAAGGCCGCTGAGGTATGCAAGCAGGCGGTCAACCAGGTGCGTGCTTCAAATGAGGCTGGTATTCGTTGAGTGGCAGAAGGAGACGGTGCCGGGAGGGGCGAGGAAGACTCACAATTGGTTGAAGAACGATTCCAAAACTACTGTCGAGTGCTTCCTCGCGCCGGACGGCATCCGCCAAACTCCTCAGGACATGATGCAGTATAGGCACACATTCTGGTCTAAGTGGTGGGTCCTGCCCCAGAAGCACCTGCAGGTCCTCGATGATATGCTGAACGAGCCTCGTGCCCTTGCACAGGTCTCACTGCTGGAGCTCCCTGATTCGAAGCCTGGCACGTCTTGCAAGCAGCTACTTGTTTCTCTGGTAGTACAGCTGTGGGGGGTAGATCAGTGGTCACCACGGGATTTCCTGCGGCTACCATGCCAGGCTGTGCATTGGCTGACTGCGCTGTTCACGGCCTGTGAAAAGGCCCTCGCCTTTCCACAGCAGTGCTATCTGAATGTCATGGCCCTCCTCCCGAAGTCGGTGAAAGACGAACGTGTTGTTTCGAAGTGATATACTCTCTACCGCATGCATGCGCGCATGCGTGTTGATCATACTCATGAACGGACTGTTGCGCACACGGACTTCTGGGACAATGCTGCACGGAGTTCCTCGGCGCTGCAGGCGGCGTTTCTTCGCGAGCTGTGTCACGAGGTCGCGGGTACGCTCATCATCATCCTCATCCTCATCCTCATCCTCCTCCTCCTCCTCATCCTCATCCTCCTCCTCCTCCTCCTCATCATCATCATCATCATCATCATCGTCGTCGTCGTCATCATCATCATCGTCGTCGTCATCATTATCAGCAGCAGCATCCGCATCATCATCACCACCACCATCATCATCAGCATCATCATCGCCACCACCACCACCATCATCATCATCTCATTATCAGCATCATCATCGTCGTCATCGTCATCGTCGTCGTCGTCTTCTTCATCTTCATCTTCATCCTCCCCCCCCCTCCCCCTGCTCCTCCCAAAGAGGGCGAGCCAGCGCACACGCGCGGTCTCCCGCCGGTGAGCAGACGGGCCGGCTGCTGGTGCGCGCGGGCCGACGAGCCGTCCTGGAGTCTATGGTCGCCCGCGCGAAGAGGGTGGGCGGATACCGCGGCCGCTCAGGGGGCCCCATCGAAGAGGTACCGAGGTTTGGACGACGACGACGACGACGACGACGATCTTCCACAGCAGATTCGTGCCGTGACGACCCCGGCGCTGGTTTCCGACACCGCGCGCATCGTTCAACCTTGACAGATCGGCGGCTTTCCGATCGTCGGGAGCGGCCAAGAGGGGGGTGTCCAAGAGGGGGGGGTGCAAATCATGACCGGCGGCATGTGCACGGCCCAGCGGGGGGGCCAGGGACGTAATGAAATAAGAAGAGGCGCCATGAGATCTGGGGAAATATCATGGCCCCCGCCATGATATCCACCCCCCCCTAGTCATCACCCCCCTCGTTTCCGCCCCCGACCAATCGCCAGATCGTTCCATGTCGGCCGGTTCTGGGCCACTGGCGGCGTTCACCCTTGAACGCCCGCGGCAGGGACGCCGCCGCGTCGGCACGACACGAACCTGCCGTACACTCCTCCGGTCGTCGTCGGTCGTTTTCGCCGTCGCTTTCGACCTCGTCCTCGCCCTCGTCCTCGTCCTCGCCGCAGCTGTGCTGTGCTCGTCAGGGCCGTCGCCGCGGCCGCCGACGGTTCGGCCGCGGGGGGCCCCCAAGCGGCCGCGCGCCTTTCTGCCCGAGACGCGCCGCGCTGGGCAGCCCGCCGCCTCAGTCGAACTGCCCCGGCCCTGGGCGGATGTCCAGCATGGCCTGCACCTTCGGATCCCGGAGGTCCCAGCTCGGCGACGGCCCCTGGGGCAGCGCTTCCGCCTCGCGGCCGTCGTCCGCGACCACCTGCCCTCTGTCGAAGAGGCCCGCAAAGGTGCTGCGGTCGTGGAGGCCCTGCGCCCTGCGCTCGGCCTTCAGCCTGCTCAGCAGCGCTCGGACGTCCCTGTTGTTGGGCTCGAGCTGCGCCGCCGCGTGCAGGTCCTGCATGGCCCGCAGCCTGTCGGCGTCCAGGGCGCCCACCGGGGCCACGGCCGCCTGAGCCCGGCGATACAGCGCCTTGACGCTGCTGGGGTTCACGTGCGTCAGGACCTCGTCGCAGGCCTTGGTCATCATGTCCCAGTCCTCGAGCCTCTGCGCAGCCAGAGCGATGTTCAGGTAGCAGGACGCCACCAGGTCTCGGGCCTCCTGAGCCTCCGACCCGTCGCCCTCCAGCGCCGCAGAATCGACGCGCAGGGTGTCGTCCTCTATGCCCTTGTACGAGCCGTCCTCGTTCTTCCAGTCAGGCCGCACGCACTCCACGTACCTGGAGGGAAAGAAAACAGTGACCACGACCAGGACTGAACGCGGCGACGTCAGTGTCGATCTTGGTCACCGTCTGTCTCGGTCACCGCCAATTTGCGGACAACCCTCGCGAATCTGCCAGGGTCCGCCTGGAATACGACCAAGACCGGCGTCAACAAGATCCCGAGACATCTTGGTCATGGTCGGCCCGTCGCTTGATTTACATAACTTCAAGGTCTCCGGAGGCCGTTTGGGACGATCTGGGCACCCCTGGACACTTTCGGCGAGGGGAAGTCGCTCGAGAGCATCCCGAGGCTGGAAAACCGCCAAGATCCAACGGAAGCGCCCGAAAACTCCAAACCTTGAGCCTGTCCAGCCCCCGTATCCCCGCCCGAAGCTCGAGTACCGCAGCAACCCTGCGCATTCAAGCAGCTCCTCCTCCTCCTCCTCCTGAACAACAACAACAACAACAACAACAACCACAACAACAACAACAACAACAAGAACAACAACAACAACAACAACAGCAGCAACAGCAACCACAACAACAACAACGACAGCAACAATAACAACAACAACAACAACAACAACAACAACAACAACAACAACAACAACAACAATCACAACAACTGCATCCTTATCATCACCACCACCACCACCACCATCATCATCATCATCATCATCATCGTCATCATCATCGTCATCATCATCATAATCATCATCATCATCATCATCAACATCATCATCATCATCATCATCACCATCATCATCATCATCATCATCATCATCATCATCATCATTATCATCATCATTATCATCAAGATCATCATGGGCATCATCATCATCATCGGCATCATCAGCATCGTCGTCAACATCATCATCAATACCAGCATAACCATCAGCATCATCCCCATCACCTTTATTATCATCAACAACATCGGCATCGTCATCATCATCATCATTTGTTATCAGCATCATCATGATAATCATCATCATGAACATCATCAGTAGCATCATCATCATCATCATGATCATCATCATCATCATCATCATCATCATCAGAATCATCACCATCCTCAGCAGCATCATCAACATTGAATCAACGAGATCATCATCAGCATCATCATCATCACCATCATCACCATCGTCATCGTCATCATCATCATCATCAGCATCATCATTGTCCTCCTCCTCATCAGCATAAGCATCAGCATCAACATCAGCATCAGCATCAGCATCAGCATCATCATCGGCATCATCATCCCACCATCATGATCAGCATCATCATCATGATCATCATCATCAGCAGCAGCATCATCAGTATCATCATCAGCATCATCATACGTCGTTGTCGTCGACGTAATCAGCACCACCAGCATCAGCATCAGCGTCAGCATCGTCATCATCATTAGCTGCATCATCATCAGAAGCAGCAGCATCATCATCATCACCGCCGTCAGCATCAGCATCATCAGCAACAGCATCATCATCAACAAAAATCAACATCATCAGCATCATTAGCATCATCAGCAGCATTATCATGATTTGCATCATCATCACCATCGTCATCGTCATCGTCAGAACTATCCTCATCCGCATCATCAGCAGCATCATCATCAGAGGCATCATCATCAACAACATCATAACCATCAGCAACATCAGCATCATCATCATCATCAGCAGCAGCAGCACCATCATCATCATCATCATCATCATAATCATCATCAGCATCAGCATCATCATCATAATCATCCTCATCCTCATTATCATCCTCATCCGCATCCTCATCCTCATCCTCCTCCTCGTCCTCCTCATCGTCCTCCTCCCTCCTCCCCTCCTCCCTCCCCCCCCTCTCCTCCATCCTTTCTTCCCTCGAGCACCGCAGCAGCCCCGCGGCCTTCTCGTAGCTCGTGACGGCCTCCCGCAAACCGCCCTCCGCGCCCGCGCCCCCGGCTCCCGCGGCGCTCGGCCGGCCCAGTCCGCTGCCCGCTCGCTGCAGCTCGCCGTCGAGCTCCCTGCGGAGCCCGGCCAGCTCCTGCCTCGGCGTTTTTTGCACTGGGCGGACGCTGACTGGCGTGAGTCGTCGTGTCTCGAAGGCAGCGATCAGAGAAACAGAACGAGATGAGATGGGAGGGGGAGGAGGGGGAGGAGGAGGAGGAGGAGGAGGAGGAGGAGGAGAGCAAAGGCGCTCGATCAACTGCAGAGGCATGCAACGTGTGCGTGCTCGACCAGAGATGGGAGGTCAAAGAGCACTGGGCGGGAGGAGAAGCCGGGTAGGCCCTTCCTGCCTCAGCGCCTTCAGCTCTCGCTCCTTGGCCAGCACGGCAGCCTCGGCCTCGGCGCGGGACGACGGCGACGACGACGACGACGACGACGACGACGACGACGACGACGACGACGACGACGACGACGACGACGACGGCATGGGGATGGCACGGAGGGGGAGGAGGATGAGAGGGATGAGAAAGAGGGTGAGGACATGAGGAGAGGGAGGAGGAGGGGAAGAGGATGCTTAGGGGCAGGAAAAGAAGCGCGAGGAGGAAAATCAGGAGAGGGACCACAAAATGAGTGGGACAGGACGGGGGGAGCGCAAAGAGGAACAAGGAAGAAGGGAAGAAAGGGAATCTCAAAGGGAAGGGAAAGGTGAACGAAGGAGAAAGTGGGACGCACAGGGGAGAGAGAGAGAGAGAGGAGAGGGAACGAGGAACGGTTAAATGAGAGATGCAGATGGGACAGCATATTCCACCTGCTCTCTCCTCTCCTGCACCTCCTCCCCTCCTCCCACAATGCGCATACCCTTCAAAGCCCTTTTCCTCCGTATATGATTCAACTGCGAAGTGCGACCTGCATAGTGCACTGCGAAGATACTGCAGGGTCGAGCCGAATCGCCAATCCAGCCAACAAGGACAAGTGTACATAAGCGTAGATAGCCTTGCGCGATTGGACTGTGCTCAGCCAGGTCAAGCGGTCAAGCGGATCAGACGCACACGGTAACGACCATCCAGGGAATGGAACATTAATGTCACGCTCGTGAAGGCTCATACCTCCACGGTTCATGTATGTATAATATGATTAAATACCACCCCCCCGGCCCCGGGTCCCACACCTCCCCGTGACATCTCGGGGACGCTCCCGGTACCGCTCCCCCGGCCTTTCCGGGGAGCCTCCACAGCGCCCCAGGAGGGCCCAAGACGCCTCCCAGGAGCCCCCAGAATGCGAAAGGATGATCCAAGACGCTCCCAAGCAGCCCAAATCAGCCTTCCGACAGCTCTCGAGGCTCCAAGAGACCCCAAGAGTCCGCGAGGCGTCCCAGGACGGCCCAAAGAGGCCAAAATCGTAGATTGTCACTGTTTTTGCCATGTTTTTGGCTTCTCACGTTTTCGAGCTTCCAATGATCCAAGAGCGCCGCCCAAAATCGCCCCAAGACCACCCAAGAGACCCAAGACCACCCAAAACGGGCCAAGAAGGCTCCAAGACTGCCGAAGAGGCGCCCAGGACAGCCCCAGACCACCCCAGAACAGGCCCAAGATGGGCCCAAGAGCGGGAGCAGGAGGCGTCCAGAGACCTCCGAGAGGCCTTCGGGACCCCCCAGAGGCCCCCAACACACCCCCGACCCTGAGAGGCCCCAAAAAGACCCCGACAAGGTTCCAAGAACAGCCCAAGAGAGCTGCGAGAGCCGTCCTGAGAGAGCCCAAAGAGGGTAAAATCGTTGATTTCCAATGGTTTTTCTAATGTTTCTCGCCTTTTCACGTTTTCCCGCTTCCAGCCCTCGAAGATCGAGGATTCTGGTGAGGAAGAAAACGAGGAATTCCCAGAATTCCATCGCTTTTTCCTTTTTGTTGTCAAAAGTAGGACTCCTACTCCGAGATACCACATCCCCTGACATCTGGCCGGTACCGCGCCTTCCGGCTTCCTGGGGGGCCCCCAGGACGACCAAGGACAGTCCCAGACGACCCCCGAGGAGCCCCCAGAACGTAAAGAACGGCCCAACATACTCCCGCGCAGCCCGAGACACCCTTCCAACGGCTCTCCAGGCCTCCGGGAGGCCTCCAGAACCCCCAAGGGGTCCGGAAGATCCCACACCTCCGAGGGGCCCGGCTAACAAAACCCGCGAGGCACACACTAGAAACAGCGCTGAACAGCGCCGAGGAACTGAAAAAAATGGGAATCCCACAATTTCGTCTTCTTTTCAAGTTTGGCCCCCGGTCTAGTCTTGCACAACAGACCACAATTCAGACCCCCCTCACCTCCCAAAAAAGAACCCAGGAAGCCTTTGAGGGCCTCAAATCGTTGAACACCTAGAAAGAAATTGAATGAATTCTACGTTTCCGCACTTCCCCTTCTGTACAATTCCGAGGCTTGCGCAGGGCCTCCAAGGGAGTCCCTGGACGCAAGACGCGACCAGAATGAGATTCCATGAGTTAGCCTATCAAGCCTAACTAGAACTTGAGCGGGCGCGAAGCGCGCGCGATGGTTCTAGTATATATATATATATATATATATGTGTATGCGCATACATGCATGCATGCATGCATGCATGCAGACAGACAGACAAACAAACAGACACAGAGACACACATACATACATACATACATACATACATACATACATACATACATACATACATACATACATACATACATACATACATACATACATACATACATACATGCATGCATGCATGCATGCATGCATGCATGCATACATGCAGACATACATACATACATACATACATACATACATACATACAAACAAACATAATACACCTCCCCTTCACCACATCACCTTGCACTTCTCTCCCCCTCTGTTCCTCTTCCGCCTCCGCCCCCCATCTGCCCCATCCCGTCCTTCCCTCCAGCCAATCGCCTCCTTCCCTCCACTTTCCAACTCTTCCCCTTCATACCTCACCTCCACCATCGAACGTCCCCACTGCCCACTCCTCTCTCCTCCCTTGCCCTCTGCATCCTTTCCATCCTCCCCGCTCCATCTCATCCCCTTCTATCCCCCCTCTTCCCCCCTGCCCTTCCTCCGCCATTCCCCTCCTCCCCTCACCCCGTCACCCCCTTTATCCCGCCCTCCTCATCCCCATACTCCCTCTTGTTCGGCCTTTGGCTCTGGACCTCTGCTTAATGCGACTGTTTACGACAGCGCGTCATGCGGAGGAGACTACACCTGCTTGAAACAGGGCCCCAAAACAGCCAAGATCTACTCCAGGGAGGGAGGGGGGGTGCGAGGGCCCGCGCCGATCGGCAAAACAATGAATAAGAAAACGACCACATCCCCATCATCCCCATCTCGGTTCCCTTGTCGACGCTCCACCCGTGCGCTCTGTGTCCCACGTCGGGCGACGCCTGCGACACACGCCAGACAGCCGTGCCCCTCCCTCGGGGTGGCGCAGCGGACCTCACGGGGACCCCCCCCTCACCCCTCCGTCCGAAGCAGCTGCCCAGGCCTGCTGCGGCACAGGGGAAACAATTGATGGACTTTTCCCAAAGTTCAAGGTCGGCACGCGCGGAGGAGACTGCGGTCGGAGCGCAACCCATCAGACCCACCGCCAACTTTGAGCATTGGGGACAGGGGTAGGTGTTGACCGATGAGTGTGGTACGAGTGCTCTTTACGTTTGTCCGAGGCCTGTATGTCTCTTGTAGAGGAATGAGAACTATGCACATGCACCGATTCTGGCCAGGCCAACCCTGAGCCCAAGATCGGTGCATACGCCCTCCTGCCTTGGCCACGAAGGCATATGCACCGATCCTGGGGCCAGGGATGGGCCTGGCCAGGAACGGTGCATGTGCATAGTTCTCTTCGCCCGATCTTGGCGCGGACACGCCAAGCAGCCGTGCCCCTCCTTCTGGGCGGCGCGAGTGACCTCACGGGGATCCGGCCCCTCGCAGATCACCAACCCCCCCTCCTCGGGCGTCTACTGACCCGGGCCAGTGCAAACCCAGGTCGGTCAGGCTTTGCAGAATCCTGCAGGATCCTGCAGGATCCTGCACCCGTGCCTGGGCCAGTGCACCCCTGGCCCTGCAGCATCCTGCAAGATCAGGCGCCCTGGCTGACCCAGGGGCGTCCAAAAGGGGGGCGTCCAAGAGGGGGGGGTGCGAATCATGGCCCGAGGCACGTGCGCGGACCAGAGGGGGC